ATAAAGATTCTGACTGTGAAAAGACTGAAGGAGCCAGAGCCCGTGGCATTTAAATGGAAATTTGTTATTACAACACTAAGACTTGCGTAGTGTTTAACTTGACTTTGCGGTGATCTAAAGCTGGTCTGGAGTTGTGGAGATAAGCCCTTTCTTCCCCTTTCACTGTCATGGTCTTCTTGCAAAATGGTCTCTTGCTCCCATGATACATGACTTGACTCTTAAACTTCCTTAATCCCTTACTATATAGGTGTGCTGTACCCAGACATTGCTGTCCCTCTGACAGGTGTTTGTGCTTGACTGAAGGACTTGCCAAAGATCATTTGTCTAACAACTGTGTCTCCTGGTGTCTGGTTTGGTGGAAGATGGCAGCAGTGACCTTCTGGGCAGCAGTGTTGCTCACTTACGGAGTCTCTACAGGAATTGCAATGGTAGAGTACTAATGCTGAATGATGGCTTGCTTCATTGTAACTGCTGTGAGTAAGATGACCGTGAAACAAGATGATTTGTTCTTATAATGTCTATTGTTTCTTTAAAGGTCCCCAGTGGATCATCTCAGGGCCAAGGTAGATATGCGAAGGCCTCCAGAGGATCCTCAAAGGTCCCAAGTAGATATCAGAAGGCCTCAAGAGCATCTTCGCCGGTTGCCAGTGGATCTTCGAATATCCCCAGTGCATCTTGGCAGGCTCCCAGTGGAGCTGGGCCCTCGGCTGGGGCCTCGGCTGGGGCAGACGACATCCTAAAACTGGACATGGCTCCAAACTCTGTTGACGACATGTACCAAGGCTGCAAAAGAGAAATGTACCAGAATCTCCAAGAATTACTGGCAAATGAGAAGAACAAAAACCCCACATTCAAAGGGGCCTGGGAGAGCTCAGAACAACGGTACAACAACAAATTTAAGAAATCAAAACCAGCCCTGGGGAAAGACCGTATTGTAGCTATTTACTATTACACCTTTGGCGGAGACAATGCGTATCTTGATTTCAATAATGCAGTTCGAACCCAGGGGCCTCAGTACAAGACCACATTTGGGTATCACGCACTTCACTTTCTCCTGACCGACGCCATTCAAACTCTCAAAGAACGCAGGCTCTCAAACCTCGCTCCGGGAGAGGACGGATGTGTCACTGGCTACCGCCGTGTTGACAAAACCTTTGACCAAGTCGTCAACACGCAGCTTCGATTCGGCTCTTTTACCTCAAGCTCAATGGGTCAGTACAGCAAGAAGGTAGAGAGATTTGGAGACAAGACGTGCTTTGAGATTTACACATGCTTTGGAGTAGACATCTCCATGTATTCTAAGTTTGAGAACGAAGGCGAAGTGCTGATTCCTCCTTACGAGGTCTTTAAAGTGGTAGGGGTGAAGAAGAGATCTCAGTATAAGGATCTTCCATGTGAGGTGGAATATAAACTCAGGAGTACAAAAACATTTGTCTCCAATTTGAATTGTGCTCTTATTAAGAAGTAAAGCACTCTCACGTTTTACATACAGTTAACAAAACGTCAAATTTAGGATTTAGGACGCACTGTTTTAAATGTTGTGTTAATCAAAATTCATCTGAGTATGGATTTATTTGTTAACATTTGAATGACTCATCAATATCACACTGACTTTAAACACTGAACACACAGAGGTTTACAGCAACAAGTGTTTCAAGAAAAAAGATGCATTAAAATTAATCTCTAAATTGTGTAATTGTTGTACTGGGTCTGTATTAAAATGTTAAAATGAAAATCAAAAATTTGTAAATTGTTTGAAACAATTGTAGTAATGCATTGTGTTATTGCCTGTATTACCTGTATTTAAAGTGGATGCATAATCTGTCCTACAAAGTTACTGTATGAAAACTGTGTCAAAAAAGAAATGGAATAATAATTAAACACACTTGTGTTCACAAGTTGTGCAAGTTTGTCATTTTTACAGTGAAACGCCTCGGTGTCCTTTCACTGTCCAACAACCCAAACAGAAGAAGCTCATCAGAAAGTTTGTACATAGCTGCCTGTGGCTGGTTCTACAGTGTCCCAACTTTTTTGGAATCAGGGTTGTACAATAAAATGTAGTTTGAGATACTGCCAGCAAAAAGAAATAAACTCAAAATAAAGATTCTGACTGTGAAAAGACTGAAGGAGCCAGAGCCCGTGACATTTAAATGGAAATTTGTTATTATAACACTTAGACTTGCGTAGTGTTTAACTTGACTTTGCGGTGATCTAAAGCTGGTCTGGAGTTGTGGAGATAAGCCCTTTCTTCCCCTTTCACTGTCATGGTCTTCTTGCAAAATGGTCTCTTGCTCCCATGATACATGACTTGACTCTTAAACTTCCTTAATCCCTTACTATATAGGTGTGCTGTACCCAGACATTGCTGTCCCTCTGACAGGTGTTTGTGCTTGACTGAAGGACTTGCCAAAGATCATTTGTCTAACAACCGTGTCTCCTGGTGTCTGGTTTGGTGGAAGATGGCAGCAGTGACCTTCTGGGCAGCAGTGTTGCTCACTTACGGAGTCTCTACAGGAATTGCAATGGTAGAGTACTAATGCTGAATGATGGCTTGNGCTGAATGATGGCTTGCTTCATTGTAACTGCTGTGAGTAAGATGACCGTGAAACAAGATGATTTGTTCTTATAATGTCTATTGTTTCTTTGAAGGTCCCTGCTAAAGCTGGGGCTGGGCCCTCGGCTGGGGCAGACGACATCCTAAAACTGGACATGGCTCCAAACTCTGTTGACGACATGTACCAAGGCTGCAAAGATAAGATGTACCAGAAGCTCCAAGAATATCTGGCGAATGAGAAGAACACAAACCCCACATTCAAACGGGCCTGGGAGAGCTCAGAGCAATGGTACAACAAAAAATTTAAGAAATCAAAACCAGCCCTGGGGAAAGACCGTCTTGTAGCTATTTACTGTTACACCTTTAAAGACAATAAAGTGTATCTTGATTTCAATACTGCAGTTCGAACCCAGGCACCTCAGTACAAGACCACATTTGGGTATCACGCACTTCACTTTCTCCTAACTGACGCCATTCAAACTCTCAAAGGAGAAGAAAAACTCCCTCAGGGAGAGGACGGATGTGTCACCGTCTACCGCCGTGTTGACAAAACCTTTGACCAAGTTGTCAACACGCAGCTTCGATTGGGCTCTTTTACCTCAACCTCAATGGGTCAGTACGCCAACAAATATTTTGGAGACAAGACGTGCTTTGAGATTTACACGTGCTTTGGAGCAGAC